ATACCAAATATATTGATACTAATGGGCCCGGCAACGTTAAATTATAATGTGCCACAACGCCATTGAACAATCAATACGTCACTTCCTGAGTCCTATTCGTGAGGTCGTATCTGTGAGGTTCTATTCGTGAGGTATATAGCGTGCGCATACATCAATTGAATGAAATCGACTCGTTATTTAGCCATTGTAATACGTATTGCCAACATGTGTTACCAAGGCACAGATGTGAACAAACTAGGATTAAGTTATCATGAAACGTGAAATAATTCTGACTTAATGCATATTACACAGTATCATTCAGAGGTAGAGGATTTTCTGTGGAGAAAAAACCTGTGTCCATGCAGGCCACCACATACTGTACCTTTATAGAGGAACTGTGTACCACACTATAAAACAAAGATTTAGTGACATAGGTGGTCATTATCATTTTACATACAAACACACTGTATTCAAGCCTGTAATTGAATATTCATGGAGTAATTATTTGTACTCAAGTTGTTTGCAGTCAGTCAGCATAAAGAAAAGACCACACTCAGACTTGCACATACGAGTGTGCGAGTATTTGTCAGGCATTTCAACTATAGAATATAAATTATGAACATCTTTTTGATTTCTATGAAAGCACATACATTTGTTTATATATCAAATAAGTTGCCATGGTTACTACAGACCGTTACAATGGGCTATATATGCTATTGCAACCAGAGGGACGAGGGCGCTCAAGTATGGATAAATATTGTGTCAAATTTTAATGTGATAAATTTAAAGGGCAGTGTGTTTGAATTTCATGTAAATTCAATGTACTGTTGTTGGTTGCTAAGAGTCCCATGATACGGTGCTACGAACACCACCCTTTAATAGAGTCTGCAATTTAAAAAATGTTCAGAAATAATCTCAAACTTCAATTTGCGAAAAAAAAGGCATAGATGGAAAATTTAATCCCTTTTTTGCATTAAATGGCATTTTTAAGTTAAACTTGCAATTCATATACAACTTGTCTGGATGCTTCCTAAATTTCACCAGTTTTGTGTAAGCTAGAATAAATAGAGTGAATGGTGTAAAGTACAATAAACCGATTCAAGTGACTGTCGATTGCTATTGTGTACCATTCCATAATACATCACAAGATAACAGTACTAGACAGACAGATATCACAATACACAAATATTGGGGTCAATGAACGGGTCAGCAAAACAAACTTACTGCTTCTTACCACTTTTTTCCAGTACGATGCTTGTTTTATTGTCAAAGAATTTCTGTACATCTTGCATATATACAAAAAAAAAATCCATATCATCCAGAGCTTATTCAATTTGACAGATTCATGTGAAGGAAGCGTAAAGTAGTAGTTACAATGTCCTCGGAAGCAAATAATTCGCACCTTCACAGCAGACGAATAATAACAACAATAAAGAAAACTTTGTCTGCTTGATTATAGGATACTTAAAGGCTTACACTTAATGTTCACAGGTTGATATTATGATTGTCTGATTCAATGAATATAATAGTGCTTCCTCATGTTTCAGCAGTGTTAAAATTAACCTTATAAGAACTATATTCATCAATGTTTAAATCATTAAGACATTGCCTGCAGCCTTCTTTTTTATTCATTGATTTTTGTACGTCTTTGGTGGCAATGCATTTTCACACAAACAGCGCCACCAAGAATTAAAACAGAATCAAGTCGTATTTCCCCCACAATAAATTTGTTTTTGTTACAAAAATATTAGTATCTTGACACTGGACATTTATCTATCAGTAAAATTAATTTATTTACACAATATTGTTTTATGATAGAATAATTATTTATAATAAAATCATTTTACTTAATTGAAGTTTAGAGGACAGTCTAGAGCTTGAAGTATCATTTCCTGGTGCTGAGATGCCTGCTACTATAGGCTACACACATGCGGAAACACGATGTAAACATTTTAGATGAAATCATGAACAAGCAGCCTGTCGGCTGAGATAGCTCCGCTGTTAGCAATGCACATTTCAATTAAAGAACAGAAGACATCATTAGAAAATGAACAATATGTATAGTATCAAAGCAATCGGACTTACAGTTTTTAACAAGAAGTCGAAAATATCACTTTCTACCAAAAATGACAAAAATATTCACCAAAATTAGAGAATTGAAGATATCATCACAAATGAACAAATCTGAGAGAAGGTCCACATGTAGTACCTATATATGTAATATCAAAGCAATTGGACTTGCGGTTTTTAACAAGAAGTCGAAAATATCACTTTTTACCAAAAATGACAAAAATATTCACCAAAATTAGAAGAATTGAAGATATCATCACAAAATGAACAAATCTGAGAGAGGTCCACATGTAGTACCTATATATGTAATATTAAAGCAATCAGACTTGCGGTTTTTAACAAGAAGTCGAAAATATCACTTTTTACCAAAAATGACAAAAATATTCACCAAAATTAAAGAATTGAAGATATCATCACGAACTGAACAAATCTGAGAGAGGTCCACATGTAGTACCTATATATGTAGTATCAAAGCAATTTGACATGCGGTTTTTAACAAGAAGTCAAAAATATCACTTTTTACCAAAAATGACAAAAATATTCACCAAAATTAGAGAATTGAAGATATCATCACGAAATGAACAAATCTGAGAAAGGTCCACATGTAGTACCTATATATGTAGTATCAAAGCAATTTGACTTGCGGTTTTTAACAAAAAGTCAAAAATATCACTTTTTACCAAAAATGACAAAAATATTCACCAAAATTAGAGAATTGAAGATATCAACATGAAATGAAGAAACCTAAGAGAGGTCTACCCAAGGTACATATACACCAAGTATCAAAGCATTCAGGCTTGTAGTTTTCAAGAATAAGTCGAAAAAGTAAAACATTGACACGAACGGCGACGGACAATCACTCATATGATAAGCTCCGCTCGACAAAGTCGACAGCGGAGCTAAAAAAAGATTTGCTCATGAAGATGCTTCTGATCCTCAAATTAAATAGAAAAAAACAGATTTGATGAAGATGACATTTTTTAAGGCACACATTGGTAAGATTTTTACTAAAAGCCGCTGTTTTATGAGAATTTAGCAACTAAATCATCGGGACACGAATTAATTAAGGTTTGATGAATTAAAAAGGATGGTGAATGTTTGAAATTAAGTGTATATAACAGAAACATTAATATTTACCATATTTCATACAGTTATTTAAAAAAAAATATTGCCAAGTTTTTAAATGAGCCATGTTTTGTCATCTTTGGTGTTGACATCACAATTTTAAATTCCATGCATCATCAGATCATCCATGGCCCAATCAATGGGTGGGAACCGTGGGATACGATAAATATCACATATCATGTTTGAGAAAAACTTATGTTGGTTTTTTTGTGAAAAACCACAAAAGTTGACTTTTGATTGCAAAAGGTTGATTACCTCATATCACTGCCTACTGTCAGGTGACAGAAAACACAGCCTATTCACTATTCACAATAGTCTCACATATAGATAACTAAAAGTTCTATTCTGACAATTGTACAAAAAAAGAAGAAATCTCAAGAAAAAAATAGATTTATAAATACAATGATATTCACATATTTATAAAATGTTGAGTACAAGATTGTGTACTGTTTGCGGAAGAACTTAGCATTATCATAATTGTAGTGTGACCATCCAAGGCTGTCGGTCTTCAAATATTTCTATGAGCGTTCCCACACAGTGTTTATTGTAGCTACCGGTAGTCCAATGGATTAGCACCAGTATATAGTTCACAGTCAAAGTCAATCTTGACCTACTTAACAAACATGATGTAAAATCCCATGATGACGCACGACGTAGCGACCGCTAAATGAAGCCTTGTACCAATTACTGCCGCTGTGAGTAGAGAAATTTACATGTTCTTATTTGTACAGATTCAGATTTCCATATCAGAGTAAGAGATTACATTTCAATATCCTGTATGTCAACATGTGACTAAATACTGAATACTGTAAAAGGGGTAATTATTCACTGGGTTTTAATTTAGCTTATTTCGCTGACTGGAAAAATGCGCTAAATTAAAACACAGTGAATATGTAAAATTTAGCATAAAACACATTATCTAAATGACGAAACCGTGAATTTAAAACCCACTGAAT